GGCGCCTGGCTCCTTCACGGTCCAACTGGACAGCTCAAGAAGACTCCTTCCTGCGCCGTTGCGCAACTGCTGTGCTGCAGATGAGTGGTCCACTCGCTCTCCGTGCTCTCGCTCGCGAGGTGGGGGTTCAGTTCCCCACGCGCAGCGCTGAGGCGTTGTTTAAACGGCTTTCCACGTTGAACAAAGACGAGTCGCTGCTTGCAGCTCCGGTCCCCGAGCCGGTTGTCGATCCATCTCTACCTCTCTCCTCTAAAACTTCTACTGTTGAACCAGATCAAACTCAGATGCACTGAACTTCGCTCCTTCTCTCCGCTACTAAGCCTTTGGAGGACTCACCATGTGAGGCCCTTGCCACCGAGGAACTCTTGTCCCTCGTGCTATACCTACTCATGGAAGCTGCTGTGCGATTGGACTCCCATGCTGCCGTTGTGTTTCCAAAGCGATGGAGTCCGGGAGTAAACCGACGGCCTGCTGCAACTGCGCGCCCCACTGTCAGTCGCACGAAACGTCGCGCCCAGTATGCGGAGGCAAGCTCATCTTGCCAAGAATTACAAGGCCGGAGGCCAGTTCATCTTATCGGGTGACTCGCGCAATGCCCTTTGTCCAGATCCACCGTTACCAGCCGGAATTCTGGCGGGAGCTTACTGAGCGCCCCAGTGATCCGGACCAACGGCCTACTCCAAATCCACCTACTGTTGCCGGGGGACTCATCGATCCTATCAGCTCAACTGAGGTTTTTCAAAATCCCCGCCTAATGCAGGATTCTGCGGCGGGCACTGACGGACTGTTTGTAAAGGATCTGCTGCGGTGGCCGCCGGCTGCCATAGCTGGTTATTTGAACGTGATTCTAGCGAATGGCCATCTCCCAACCCAACATTGCATATGCAGAACCACCTTGACCCCGAAAGTTCAGCATCCTCAACTTCCTTCGGAGTACCGCCCTATAGCAGTCCCCAACAGTATCCCCCGCCAACTACATCGTATTCTTGCCCACAGGTGGTCACGCCTCTGTCCTACCACCCGCCTCCAGTTTGGTTTCCAGGAGCGGGATGGGACGGCGGAGGGGACGTCGTTGCTTCACGGAATATTACGGTATGCGATCTCTGCTCCAAGATGATTTGCTGTGGCCGTGTTAGATGTTGCGAAGGACTTTGATTCCATGAACAATGACACGCTCTTACGAGCCGCCGCAGTCGCACACGGAGTGCCATCTCTACTGCTTAATCTCCTAACTTCCAACTACTCCAGAACTAATACCTATATCCTTGACCCCTCTGCCTCCTTCTCTTTTCCTGCGCACTAACTGAAGCTAGTTCCTATTCTGATCGACAGCTTGGCTTCGAGCTGAATGGAGTAACAGTGGACTGCATTGCTTATGCGGATGAGCTCGTCCTGTTCGCTAAATCACCTCACCGCTTGCAGCCGAGACTGCATGGTCTGGCCAATGGCCTCTCCCTTGCTGATATGGTTCTTAACTCGGCCAAGTGCGTCTCCTTCTACCTACAAGCGCTTGGAAAAGAGAAGAGTGCATGCATCCAACCGCGCGATGTTTCAATCGGGGGGATGGTACTGCGCTCGTTAGGGTCGACGGACACTTTCAATCATTTCGGGGTGCCCTTTTCCTACCGCGGGAAGGTGACAGTAGGCCACCGTCCGGTCCTTTACAGAATGCTCGAGATCACCCGAGCACCTCTTAAGCCGCAGCAGCGACTTACTCTTCTGAAGCGTCATTGCGTGCCTATACTATTGCACCAGTTGGTACTTGGAGCAGTGCATCGCTACACGCTGAAACGGTTGGATGCACAAGTGCGACAGGCGGTCCGGAAGTGGCTCAAGCTCCCGGCTGACACGCCGATCTCATTCTTGCACGCTGCTATCCGAGACGGGGGTCTTGGTGTGCCATGCCTGACAGCTCTCGTTTCCCCTGCTAAGCGCCGACGACTGGCTACAAAAGAGCCTGCAGTACGAGTGGCTGCCGCTGTCCCTTCTGCCTTTCCTGGTATGCGGATAGCAGTTCAACCAGTGCGTATGGGTCAATCGGTCCTGGCAAGTAAAAAGGACGCAAGGAACTACTGGAGGACCTCTCTGTATGCTTCCGCGGATGGTCGACCCCTCGCTCACTTTGCTGACTCTGCCGGTGCCAACCACTGGCTCTCTTCTCCTGACCGAGTCTTCCCATGGCTCTTCTTGCGTGGCATCCACCTTCGGACGGGTATCCTCTCCACCAAGTCCTGCAAATCCCGGAGAACAGGCTCTGAGGGCGTATTGTGTCGAGGCCAGTGTGGCCAACGTGAGACCTTATTCCACATACTCCAATGCTGTCAAGTGCCACATCGTGCCCGAGTGTGGCGCCATAACTTGGTCATGAAGCTACTAGCAGAACGCTTGATGAGATGCTAGACCTGTTGATTGAACCCCATGTCCCCGAGGGCAATTCGTACTGCAAACCGGACATCGTCATGAGCACGGAGAATTCAATCACGGTGACTGATGTGGCCGTAGCGGGAGAGGACCTAATGGACCCAGTCTACGCTGGAAAAGACCGGCGCTATTCAGCGGGGAAAGTCAAGGTGAATCTTCGGAGGATCTTGACCAAACTAGCCAACACTACAGTGTCCCACGTACCAGCAGTCTTCTCAACCCGCGGCACTATATCCTCCCGTAGCGAAAGCCTACTGCGATCACTCGGATTATCCAAGTTCGACCTGTCCGATTTATGCTTGGCAGTGGTTCCAGGATCACTGAAAGCGTACGATGTTTATGTTCGCGAGCTGGCGGTGATGGTGCTACCCGACGCGCAGGGACCCGTGGTGCTGAATGAAGTCGGTGTCCAGAACCATTTTGATGGCCCCTCAAGTTTAGCTGGCTCTCAGTAGTTCAGCGGCTGAGGATCAGTCGTCAGTGACGGACACTAGCGGATGTACTGGCCTCGGAGAACTCCAGTTTGTAGCCAACCATTGCTAATCTTGCCCCTCAGAATGCAAAGACAATACGACCCAAAGACCATATTCCCATTGTGGCTATTTAAAGCCGGAGCCCAGTTCATCTATCAGGTGACTGGCTCGATGCCCCTGGTCCAGCTCCCTAAAGTTCAACATTCTAAAGTTCCTTTGGAGTACCACCCTATAGCGGTCTTCAGTGTTATCCCACGCATGCTAAACAGTTTCTTGCTCAAAAATGGTCACGCATAGGGAGAGAGCCGATCCGGATATTAGGCAAAACGGATCCCTTCACATACCTGGGGGTTCCGTTCACCCACCGCCGAAAACAGGCAATCCGGCACCGTCCCCTACTACACGAGATGCTCACAGAGATTTCCCAGATCCCGTTGAAACCTCATCAGAGGATCACTCTCCTGAAACGTCACTGTGTGCCTAAACTCATGCATGACCTGGTGCTGGGCTCCGTATACCGACAGACGCTAAAACGCCTCGACGTTAAGATCCGACAGGCAGTGAGAACCTGGTTACGCCTACCTGCAGATACGCCTACGGCTTTTTTCTACGCGCATCTACAGGACGGTGGAATCGGACTATCTTGCCTGTCAACCAGTATTCCGCTGATGAAGAAAAAACGTTTGGATGCACAACTGGCATCTGCGCATGAAGCAGTCGGAGTGGTCTCGACATTACCAGCAGCCTTGACAACTCTTCACCAAGCCTCTCGCTCTGTGCTCTTCCACCAGACCGTGATCAACTCGAAGGACGATGCGCGGCAGATGTGGAAGGATCAGCTGCACCGCTCAGCCGACGGTCGCCTACTTGCCCATATCGGGACCTCTGCCTATGTTCACCACTGGCTATCCTCTCCTGACCGATTGTTCCCCTGGCTGTACTTGCGGGGCATCCAACTTCGTGCTGGCGTTCTGTCAACCAAAGCCCGCAGGAGTAGGAGAAAAAGGCTCCCTGATACCCTCTGTCATGGGCAGTGCGGCCAAGCCGAAACCCTCCCCCACATTCTACAAAGCTGCCAGGTGACAAAAGATGCGCGGATCTGGCGTCACAAAAGCATCATGAAGACTGCTGCC